GACATTTGGAACACGACGGAGTACCCCTTCGACAAACGGCGAGAGAGATAGGTGCGGGATTGTATGGAGTATCATGGCATCCCGAATAGGAGAGATGGTGGAGTTGGACGGGGGGCGGTGGACGAGGTGCAGGGTGTCTTGGACGGGGAGGGGTGGATGGCGAGGGAGGAGAGCACTGCGACGAYGAAGGTTGTGTCRGYGCAGGGGGGGGGAGTGCTCGACSGGGGCCACTGGKCGAGGGAGCAGAGGGGGACGGCGACGACGAGGATTTGGAKGAGTTAGGAGCATCCCTGTGAGGGGGGGGAGTTAGAGAGCCACGTGCGGGTCGTCAGCCGACGGGGCATGTCGCTATGGATGGACGTGGGAAGAGGAGGGCAAACACTGCTCCTGCGGCGAGCGCTCTGGAGCCGAAGCGCTTGAAGCAGGTTAGGTTGGATGAGGTGTACGATCTAGAGTGGCAGGCCACCTTCGACCATCTGTTCCTTCAGTGGTGGTATATCGGCGGCATCCTATTTGAGAGGGCGAGGATGACGGAGTATAGGGCCCTCTCACAGCATGTGCAGAAAATGTCGAGGGGCGTGAAGCCTGCTTTGCCCCAGTTCAGGCGCATAGCAGGCAGTGGCATACAGGAGGAGCGTTTGTACATAGCTGATAAGCTATGTGACATACGCGGTTAGATGGACCACAYGGGGGCCACCATCCTCACAGATGGTAGGAAGTCCCTGAACTCCGAGCCGATCGTCAACTTCCTGGCAGCCGGACAGTYRGACAGAGACTGCAGATGTGGTGTTGCGGCGGTGGAAGAAGGTGTTCGAGGACTTCGGCGCGAAGAAGATAAATGCTATCTGCACGGACTCCGCATCAGTTTACGTCGCTGCTGGCCGCACACTTCGCGATGACCCCGATCCAGATATTCGTCGCATCCCTTGGATCCCTTGTTATGTCCATTGCTGCAATGTGATGTTGTCTGACATGGTCAAGGACAAGACATGGGCCATTGAGTTGCTAACGAGGGCGAGGGCAGGTGTGCGCTTCATCAGGTCGCACGGTTCGGCTCTGGCCTTGTTCAGGATTTACAGCGCTAGGGCCGATCACGCCACACGGGGCGAGCGTGTCAGTGGCAGCCCCGCAGGCGAAGAGGAGGCACGCGGCAGAGGACGACGGGGCCGGGAGTTGTTGTACCCCTGCCAGACGCGATTCGCGTCTATGTATATCATGATGGAGAGGTTGCGCGACCGTAGGGTTCCACTAGAGACGATGATGTTGGAGGGGGATTGGGCGCGACTTCCATGGGAGAGGAGGCTCCTCGCCCAGGCTGGTTGGGTGCGCACGCAGGTGCGATGTGGGCTGTTTTGGGAGGAGATGGATGATCTCATCGACGTCTTCACCCTAGTAGTGCAGTTATTGAGGCAGTTGGACCAGGGGGGGTTGGTGATCTCGTGCATCTTCCGGTGGGTGACGCAGTTGGCTGAGGAGGTTCGGAAGTTGGAGGTAGCGAGACCACGCCTGGTTGGGATGTTGCAGGATTGTTACGACCGAGCGTGCCATCTCTTGGAGCCTGCCCATGTCGCCGCCCATCTTCTAAATCCGAGGAGGTGGAGCTTCGTTTACTTCCAGTCATGTGATCGCAGCACTCAG